GGGAGACTTACCTGTGGCGCCATAGCTCCAGCTTCGTCTTCGATGTACCTGCAACAAGGCGCCACCTTCACAGGTTAGTACCGGACTGAGAGAGAGAGAGAGAGAGAGAGAGAGAGAGAGAGAGAGAGAGTTCTTCTTCTTCCTCTTCTAAGTCCACCATATCTCCCTCACACTCTCGCCACCTAACTTCTCAGTATCTGCAGACTACGAGAGAGAGAGAGATTGGTGACTTTGGGACTTGACGGCATTTGGATCCAGACTCGACATTGGGATTGAGACATTGGACGAGGGATTATTTGGGACCTGTACCGAAGACTTGGTGTTGACGACATTCACATCTTCCCCTCTTCTTCCTCTGCTTATGGCTGGGGACTGGCGCACTCTTCCTGTGTGAGCGCCAGCCCCTTTCACACCATGGAATGATGATGTTTGGTCTGCATTGCGACATTGATGGGAACGTGAGTGTGATAGAGACTTTCAAAGACAATAAAGTTGTACCGAACAGCCACGCCATAACACCTCATGCTCAACTTCCTTCAGTTGCTCCTTGGAGCGCCTTGAAGTCCAAATGTATAGACTGTCCATCTTCCCAAGGCAACCTTGAGATATCCCCATGCAACTGATGGCCCCCAGGCAATTCATGAGTTATTAATCATTCATTAGTTTTGATTGGTAACTCTGCCAGGGGTCTCGCCGCACGGCACACGAAACGAAAACGAAACGAGTGCATCTGCCCACGAAAGGTGGCAAAATACACTCCTTACTATTTATAGTAAACCGATGAACCTGGCCATTTTCTGCAGGAAGATGCACTCATTTCGTTTTTCGTTTCGTGTCCCGCCGCCGCACGCCCTATGTTGCCTCTGTATCCACCACAGAAGTGATAAAGTCGCATGCCAATGGCTCTCTTCTTACTTTGTCTCCCCCCCCCCCCCCCCCCCCGCCCCCCCCCCCCCCCCCCCCCCCCCCCCCCCCTCCCCCCCGCCCCTCCCCTCCCCTCCCCCTCTACTCGATAAAGGGTGACAACCTTGAGATATCCCCATGCAGCTGCTCGGCCCCAGGTAATTGACGAGTTATTATTATCACTCATTCGTTTTGATTGATAACTCCCTGCTGGGGCTTTTTCCGTGAGGCAGGCTGGTAATGGCGCTGGTAACCATTGAACTTCTTTTTAAATGGAACAGAGCCTCAGGTGTCCCCCTTTGGGAGTGGGTCTTGAACCCAGCACCTATCCGATGTGGGTGGGTGCATACTCCCTCCAGGGCCTTTTTTTTTATCCGGCGAACTTTGTGGACTCTAGGAGGCGCAGCTACCGTCAAAATTCTCAGTCTTTGCGTTAGCCGGCCCTCCCCACAAGCGGGCCCCCACCCTACTCTCTGAGCACCGCCGATTAGGGCGGGGGACAACATGCTTCCCCTTCATTGTGAGAGGTAGCGAATGTTTCCAGGAGTCCCCTGTTTAGCCGTGGGAGTAGCGGTAGGTAGATAGTGAGAGGTGAAATTGAGAGAAGAAAATAGCTCCGTGAAAGAAAAAAAAAAGCTGGGTAGGTTACCAGGGTGGATGTTCGGGCTCCTGGCTGTCGGGGATGTCCAGCTGGGACACATGCCCGGCAATCTGCACGGACAGGAGTTTGTCCAGACTAGGGCAATATCGCAAAAAACAAAAAAGAAAAAGAAAAGGTTTACAAATATGGAAAAATCCAAAAGCAGCCGTCGTATGAACCAGGCCGGAGTGCCTGGATCATACGACATCCGGCTGCCCTTTGGGGAAAAAAATAAAAATAAAAAATGCTGTAGATATTGCAAAGGGAAATACATCCTGTCTGACAGTCCTCTTCAAATTCTCACACCCTTTTTTTTTTTCTTTTTTTTTTCTTTTTTTTCACACCCCAATTCCTCTGGAACTTACGGAAGTCAACTTTTGGCGCAGAGGAGTTCCCTGCAGGTGCCGCTCCCCACCAATAGACAGGAGCCATCTGCCACGGGAGGCTACCACTGGAGGATGCTCATGCCACCCCTCCCAGAAACCCCACACAAATGCTAATGATAATTAATTTTAATTTTTAATGAAAAGAAGAAAAAAAGAGAGAGACCACAGTAGTGTGCACTGACACTTATACACACTTTTTGGATGTTTCGCATGATGTGTCACGGCGAGATCCCATTTAGAATGTTGGAATCCAAGTATACCTTCAAAGTCCAAACAACCAACAATAGAAAGAACCAGTATTCATTTCCTCCTCTGAAGCACTACAATTCAGTTTCGCTGATATGCAGTTCAATTCGTCTGTTGACGGATTCTGGTCATTGAAGGCTGCAGGTTGGGATGCGGCCTGTGGGAGATTTTCCTTTTGCACTTTTTCGTTTGACGATCTGTGATCATTAAAAGTTGCCAATCAGAATCTAGTCTGCCTGTAGGGGATAAAGCCGACGAAGAGAGAAATGATCAGTGACAGAACAACAAGCTGTAATAGAACGTATGAAAAGTCTTTAAGACACCACTACCTTTCTGAGGCAAAGGCTGCGTTGTGAATATAACCTGCTCCGCATTTTGTGGGGGCGGCGCAGCTTGGCGCGTAGTTCTTCTCCGCCTTGGCAGAAAGAGTCTTGGAGGTAGTGGTGGTTTAAGAGAAAGGTATAAAACGGAATGGACTGGAGAAGCGGAGGGCAACGCGACTCTGCACTTCAAGGAGACATACCACTGTTGGGTTTTATGTTCAGCCCAGGACTCGGATTTCCCGAGTCCCCTTCCCCTCTTGGTGGCGTCGTTGGTCCGGATCGGCTTAGAATGTAGTCAGGCGAGCACAGCCGGGTTATATGTGGCAACCTCCTTTCATTGGTTGATGAGGCCTGCTGCGTGTCGTGTTGGATGAACGGCAGTGTGAGCCCTACAGTAGCGCCTCTGGTGCTACCCGCATGCTTTGAAATCATGAACCTGGTCATACAGCTGGGTAATATGTCCTTTTTTTCTGATCATGCAGATATCACTGACTGAGCCATGGCCTTATCTCCCATTCCCCTTTAGTATGTGTCAGCTTTACACACCATTGATATGCCAGATGTCATTTACAAACCTGTCTCCATGACCCCTCCCCCCCCCCCCCCCCCCCCCCCCCCCCCTTTTGGGATAATTTGTTAAGCTTGGCCTCTGACTAATGGGATAATAAGGGAGCAGGTTTATGGCGGCATGGTAATCCCATTAGCAGTTTAGGCGCCCAAGCATAATAGAGGGGACACATATTTGACGACACGAGTGTGCCCCATTAGCAGTTAAGGCACCCAAGTGCAATAGAGGGGAGACATATTCGACGGCACGACTGTGATAGAGCTGATAGTGTGCTGGGACGATGAGTGCGGAATAATCAGAGACCCTGAGGCCGGAGTTACAGTCTGGCGGCCCTAACCTGCCCCCCTGGGACATGCATAGTGTGCGACTGGGTACCGAGCAGAGGTTCCCTGGCCATTATGCGAGCCACGGGTGGGATTATGCAGGCATGCACCACCAGGCTGGCCCCCCAGCCACCCCTGCACAGCGTCTAGGGCGGCAGGGTTGTGGGGTTTTGCTGCTCGCTTCCTCTCTATCTTGAACTCTGTCACATGCTTGCCGGTGATAAGCAACCGGACTGTCGCGCCCCAGAATAGATGGGGAATTGTGTGTGGAATCTTTTTAAATAGAAAGAATATCCCTATTATGTTAATGTCAATTGAGTTAATGTTACAAAGTAGTCTCCATGCTGCCTGTGATGGTGTCCCACTGAAAACATGATGTGGTAAACCCGTGGGCTGGCGCAGAGACTGCAGGTTGGGCTGCAGACGGAAGCTGGCCCGGTCCAAAGCTGCATCCATGGCCCATGGGAACTCAACAACCACACCGAACAGAGACTGACCTATGACCTGAACATGATGCAGGGCCAAACACTGCATCCATGGGAACTCAACCACACCAAACAGAATCTGGCACGGTTTAAGGAACGGTTCGTGTGGCTTTGCATTATTGACTGCCATGGTGACCTGGATGCAAACGGGGGGCACAAACCCACCGTGTGACATGCATGCATGCAAACCTGATGATTATCTAGGGTGCTCGCGAGCTGATCATGTTGGTGTTCAACAGATCTTCTTTTTTTTTTTTTTTTTTTTTTTTTTTTTCCTCGGAACAAAACATGGCCCAGTCTCTTCGTGGGGAGCAGCATGTGCTGCGAACCGGGCCCAACGTCCCATACGAAGGCATTTGGAAACATTTATGACCAAATTGAGATACGGGGGCCATTCCCCGGCTTCAGCTTGAGAGTATCCTCCCTCCATGCCATGCTCATGAACAAGCTACTCAGTTTTGAGACCGATGCTGGGAAAACAGACAAAGGTGTTCTTTTTTTTTTTTTTTTTCCGACAAAGGTGTTCAACGGATCAGTTTTTGTCAACTTTTGATTTTGACGTCTCTCTCTCTATCCTCCCTCTTTCCGTGTTGCTGTTTAAAGATCGCTCGATCTCTATGGCCAAAAAAACTGAGTGTGTGTCCTTCGAGCGACATCCATCAAAACTGAGAGATACACAGAAGATTAGCATGGCCCTGCACATGAATCGAGAAATGGTCAAATTTTAAGAAAAAAAGAAGGAAAAAAACTGAGCTAGGCCTGTGTCGGTTGGTACCTCGCCGCTGATCTTCGAACGAATGATGTGAGCACAAGTTGTTGTGACATACATTGTATTCTTTTTTTTATCGTCTTTCTCTCCTTATGAAATCGAACATCTGAGACGTTCTCTCTCCTGTGTTTTTTTTTGTCTCCTTCTGGCAGGTCAGGTGGGAGTTGTGAAACGTGCGTTTTTTGTTCTTTCCCTTCAGAGTTTCTACTTCTTTATATAGTGCACGGCGCAAGGGAGCAAGTGTTGCATCAACAACATAGCACACTCTCTATTGCTGTCCACTCTACCGTTCTTTCTTCAAGCCAAGGAGAGCAAGCGGCCTCGGCTTTGCGTGTTTCACAAAGTCTTCACTGAGTTCGCAGGAAGAAGATAGGTTATCTTCCTGCTCCTTGACTTCACAGCAAGCAGATAGGTTATCTTTTTGCTCCTTTATCTTTTGAATCCCCCTCCTCTCCCCTCTCTTGTGTGTTTGACAATCTGTTGTGGAGTTTGAACGACAAATAACATAACATGGGAAGAACTGCTTATCATGGGGGCGGTGGTTTAGGCCTCTGCTTTGCAGTGTTGCTCGCGTTCGTTGTCCTGGGTTCCGTTGCTTTATGGCGATCGCCGCACCACGCTGACAGCGGCGATGCTGTCAATCCATCGACTTATCTCGTAGCTCCTCTGGGAAGTTCTCGAGGTGCACTGGAGACTACATATCCTCCTAGGAGAGCGCTTGCACAGCTGAAGAAAGGGGATATACTCAGCGGTGAGGGGGGCTCGTCACAAAAGGATGGAGGGCAGAGGAAAGCGAGAGTCGGCAATAAGGCAGAGGCCGATGACCAATTACGAGAGAAACTGTTGAAGGAAATTGGATCTTCATGGGAAATCGACGCGCTGGGGACAGATGTTGCACTCAAGCCTGTGTCTGAGCCTCAGCAAAGCACCGGAATTTACTATGATGCCTCCGCACTCATAGCAACACATGCGGAGATGGAGGAGAAGTTCAAGATCTATGTCTACAAGGATGGAGACGAACCTCTAGTGCATACGGGGCCTTGCAAGGAGATTTATGCGATTGATGGGTTGTTCCAGAATGAATTACAGAGAGAGACGAACAAGTTTGTGACCAAAGACCCTGCTCGTGCGGATCTCTTCTTTGTTCCCTACAATCCGACAAATGTTGTGGACCTCTTGTTTGAACCTGGCAGTCACAGCTATGCCCCTATGGTCGAGTTCGTGAAAGACTACATCACTCACATTCAATCTCAGCATCCTTACTTCAATCGGTCGAATGGAACGGACCATTTCATGTTATCATGCCACGACTGGAGTTCATACACGACGTGGGCGCACGAGGTCTTCGACATCAACTCCATCAAGGTGCTGTGCAATGCCAATTCGTCTCAGAACTTCCACTCTAAAAAGGACGTCAGTCTTCCCGAGTTGACGATCCCTGGTGGCATGTACCCACTCGTCTTCGATGGCAATCCCCCGGAGAACAGGTCTCTGCTCGCCTTCTTTTCTGGAGGCGATCACGGCCCCGTCCGCCCGCTGCTCTTCCAACACTGGCTGAATCGGAACGACTCCGATATGCTCATCTTCAAGCAGACGCAGGTCATTTCCTTGGACGAAAATTACATTAAGCTGATGGAACGGGCCAAGTTTTGCTTATGCCCCGCTGGCTATGACGTCAACAGCCCTCGGCTCGTGGAGTCAATATACTACGGTTGCGTTCCCGTTATCGTCACTGATGACTTCGTGTTACCTTTCTCCGAGGTGCTCAGGTGGGAAACCTTCTCCGTTCGCCTTCCTGTGAAAGATATTCCCAACATGAAAAAGATTCTCGCTAGCATTCCGTTGGCAACGTACATATCCATGCAGGCGAAGCTCAAACATGTGAGAAGACACTTCATATGGAACAACCCGCCGCAGAAGTACGACATCTTCCACATGGTGATGCACGATCTCTGGGTCAGGAAGAAGCGGTTGCTCAACAAAGAGATCGAGTACGTCTATGTTCCCAATGTTCATTAAACCACGGGGTGGCGCCGCGAGGTACGGGCGGCCCGGGCCAACTTCACGTTGTCGAGTAAATTTTCTGATGGCACCCGATGCTCGCGGGCTGTTAACGCCGAAGGTCGCCCAGTAGGTTCTTTCTGGTGGTTGGTCGACTGCATGCTCATGCCGATACCTTTTTCCCTCTGCACATCCATATTGGCAAGGAAAAAGTGGCTGCTCAACAACGAGGTTGAGAAGGATGTCTATGTTGCCCATGTTCATCAACTGCATACTCATGCCAAGGCTTTGTCGACTTAATCTGCAGTGACTGCTGGCATCGAGGAAGTCCTAGTCAGACAGAGTATGCTGTCTTCACTGTTAGTCAAAAACCAACGGATCGGATGAACGGATTGGTTGATTGGTATAGATGGCTAGATGGGGTTCCTTGTAGTCTTGTTGGCCGAACAAATGGTAGGCCTCTTCTCTCCATCGTCCCCCTCCCATCCGTCCTTGTATAGATTCTTCTGCTTGGTGAGTGTATGTCTGTGTACGAAGTTAGAAAACAAGTTGCGAAGCCGGAGCGGAAGTGGAGGGAGTAGTAGTGGTAGTGAAGAGAGGAAAAAAGGAGGATGAGTGTAGAGCGCTTGTAGGGGTCTATATATATATATATATATATATATATATACACACACATATGGAACTAGCAGAGACCACGATAGACACCATGTTGGCATCACTGAGGGAGGAGCAGATTCATCGAAGGTTTAGATCTGGTCTTCATCAGAATGCCAGCTGCTGCATTGCATTCGAGCACACGTCTCATTCCGTGTTCGTCTTTTGTACAGATGAAGTTGGAGAATAGTTGCCTTCCTGTCTGCTTGTGCGAATGCGCCGAATAGTAAACCATAGAAATAACCAGCTCCGTCTTCTTTTGGCTGAGCATCCACTCTCGAAGTTTGAATCATGCACTTCAGGATGAATGCATGGATGGATGCAAGATGTGTGGATGATCCAAAGGCTAGGTGGCTGGACTGATGGAGAAAGGAAGAATAATGAACAGTCGATAGACGGTGGTGATGAAGAGATGGATGTAAGTAGGGAAAAAAGAGTTGTTGCTTCAGCTCAGTGTCCATTGGCTAGGTCGCTGGACCGACAGAGCAATGAAGAGATGGATGCAAGTAGGGGGGAAAAAAGGAGCTGTTGCTTCAGCTCAGTGCTTCAACAAGCTGGATGGATGGATGAAGGATTGGAAGGATGGAAAAATAAATGAAGCCAAGGAGTAGATGGATAAATGGGTGACAAAGGGATGGAGGGAGGGAGGAGGGAGGGTAGGTAAAGGAGGGACGGAAGGGAAGGGGACAGGCAACATTCCTGACTTCGATAATGTCTTGGAGGTGTACTGTGTCGGCAGTTTTGTAACGTTAAAAAAGACGCATCGTAGAAAAGAGAGTAGTGTGAGTGCGTGATAAGTTTCCTGGAGAAATAGCGTGAACAAGAAAAAGAGAGGTGAGGCGTTGCATGAGCTGCTGCTGCAATCGCTGTGCATTTGCCATGCTGCGATGAGGTGGATGGATAGACTCTTGCGAAGTAGAGATAGAGAATAAGCAAAACTTTTTTGCCAGAGCGTGTTGCAGATGGGAGAACATGCAGTGGTGATTTCCTTGTTGGTCTATTATTTGACCAACCAACTTGTCGGGTTGATTCGGATGGAGTTCAAGGTTGTGACGATGAGAAGAATGACCGACTTTTTTCCTGCCCTCCAAAGAATCCTTTTCTTTTTTTTTTTTTTTTTTTTTTTTTTTTTGGGTCTCAGAGAACTTGTTCACACTTGTCAGCACCGTGGAGGCTGCAACAACCAATGATGGATTGGGTAAAGTACTGACTGAGCTTTTGCGAAGAATCAGTTACGTAAGGGAGATGACTTTAGAAGACGCATCGACTTGCTAGAGATTGATGGGTTCTGCCAGTGCCCAATTCAAAACGTACGGTGGTCTGGTGAAGAGGGTAGTGGCTGCTGAGCATGCGGTGGCTGTGGGTTGCAGTTTTCTCCGTCACTCATGGTTGCATCGAAACTCTTTCAGTACTGGCAAGCTGAGGATCGTAACAACGTAAATAATTATTGGACTAGACTTGGTATGAGTGGGCTGTGTATGGCCAGCATGCATCCGGTTTTCGTCTTCTTTCATATGTATTCAACGCCGGATGCTCGTTTTTTGTTCTTTTCTCTGCGGGGAAGCACCATTCATGCCGTTCACAGTCGGTCGTTGGTAGTTGGCAAATGCAGCCGCCGAGGTGCCGGCGGTGGATGTGAATGAGTGAGCACTCTGATAGTTTGCGCATGTAATGTTTCCATTCTTGGTGGATGAGAGGTGGAGGTGGCGGGTCAATGCGGGAACAGTTTTTTGACACGTTGTTAGCTCACGGTATGTACAAAGTGTGTAGGCAAACCATTCATCGTTGGAAATGCGCCGTACACAGTCCTCATGTTGGGAAGAGTGTACAGCTGAAGCCATTTTGACCATGACCTGCCGAATGCTTCTTGTCCTTCTGGAATTCCTTCTCCGGGCGATTGCCTACGCCTACGCATTTCTCTAATGCATAGCGTAGGTTTGATGGGGACACAGGAAGGTATTATTCTGTTTTTTTTTTTTTTTTTTTTTTTTTTTTTATGCAGACCAACATTTTTGGTTCGTTTATTATAACAGCTGGAAAACGGGGTCCAGAGTCCATTAGAATTATTAAAACTGACACACACCTCTCCTTGTTATGACCGGGAGATCATTCTCCAATCTTTTATTGTGTGTGTGTGTGTGTGTGTGTTTGTGCTGGGAACTGGCCTATCTTTCTTTTTTCTTGTTCTGGGAAGCGTGCCCAGCGTTCCGTGGGAAAACACATGAACAGTTTGAGATACCGGGACCATTACCTGGCTTCGGCTGTGAGGATATCCTGTATGATCATGAACAAGCTGCTGAGTTTAAGACAGATTATGGGAGAAAACTGCGAATCTGGCCGGGAGATCCAGGGACAGCGGCATTGATTACTTTTTTTTTTTTTTTTTTTTTTGAAAACACCCCCCCCCTGCAGTGCTAGGGGTGCTGACGAACTCAGTCACCACTAGCACCCGGGGAGAGGCTCCGTCTATTGGTGGGGAGCATCACCTGCTGGAAAACGGGTCCAGCGTCCCTTCACAATAAGAACAGCATGAAGGAAATTGCCTGTGAACCCTGCCAGCATTGATTGCTCTGGTACTCAGAGGATTGACTGTGCAGGTAATTATGGGGGGGAGGAAACCTCTTCACCCTTATACCGGGCGCCAGATATCTACTACCGAAAGGCTAGTCCCTCCCTCCTTTCTTGAATTGCTGAGCAGAACATAATACCAACTTGCCTTTTGTCCTCAATCTCTCCCATACCATCCCAGACCAACCAAGCAGTTTGAAGGGGGGGGGGAAAGGATCGGGGAAGTCATCGCTGGGTCTCAGGGGGATTGCTGCATCGATCTTAGTCCAATCGTGAAAAAGGAGCCGGTAGTCCCTCACTAAATCCCTCCTCCCTTGTCCCTCCTCTAGACCTTTTAGTCCGCCTTTCCATTCAATTTCCCCAATTCTCCCCCCATTGTCCCCCCCGAGCCAGCTTAGGCTAAAGTCCTGGATTTTTTGTTGGATGTCTTTGGGTGTGTGTAATATCTGGATTTGCTTCCTGGTTTTCTCCCATTTTTCTCTTATTTCTATTTGAATCTGTTGTTGTATGCTTTCTGTGAAGTCTGGGCCTTCCAGTCTTGCTCTTTCCATTTCATATGTGCAGCGTCGTCTCCATAGGGCCCAGAGCACCGCCCTACGGCCTAGTTTAAACATGTTACTAGTGAGGTCATCTAGTTGGTCCGTTGGGTGGGTTTCGCATAGCAAGGCTTTTCAATTCCACGGCCACCGGATCTGGGTTTCTAATTGATCCCAAATTTTGTCCCACCATCTCCAAAGCCACATGGCACCGGGGCACTGAAGAAATATGTGTTCAATTGTTTCTGGCACTTTTTTGGAGGGGAACGCATCGGTGCAAAGCCTACACCAGGGCAGGGCTTGCCCTCTTTGTTCCAGGTTTGTCCTGTCTATGAGCCAATCCATTGCTGGCAGGCAGCGGTGCTCAAGTTGCCATTGCAGCGAAGCAAATTTAGCCGGTTTTTCCTTGACCGTTTTGAACCACTTTATATTTCTTAGCTTGCCCTTGTCGATGTTTAGGTGGTTCATCCATCGCGCCTCCACTCGATCTTGAAGGTTTATTCTGGGTCTGAGGAGCCTGTAGGTTGATTTAACTGTAAGGCCGTATAATGTCCTGGTGATTTTCTTGCCCCTCCCTGCCGAAGTTGTCCATGTCCATTCCACGGGGTGGACCGAGTTGATGGATCGGGGTTCGGGGGCAATAGGCGGTCAATTGCTCATTTTCGTGGAGCACTCTGATTCTGAATAGATCCTCTTTCTGTTGTAGTATTGTTTCATCTGGGGAAGTTCCTTGGAGGATGTTGTTCCTGCCTGTTTGGAAGAGGTTTACTCTTAGTGAGCCGTCTGGTTCGCAGTGGGCTATGCGGCCCACCTGATGTGGTCAGTCCCTCAGCGCCACCCAATCCAGTTCTTGCAGGGTGGGGCCTTTCCTCAAGAGCCTCCACCATGCCAGGGGGATCTTTTGTATTATGGCTTCTAAGGCATCCTCCGGGCGGTGGCAGTAGCGAAGTCTCTTCTTTAGCTGGTCCGGGTCGATCCAGTTTCTTTGTTCTTTGTCCCATATATCCTTTACCCTTGTTACTCCCTGCCTGATCCAACCTTGCCATGGGGAGTCCATACAATGGAGGGTTTGGCCCTTTAAATCTGTTATCCACCTGTTCCCAAAAAGCGGTTGTCGTGCCACTTCTTCCCATATCTCTGGAGGAGTTCTATCTGGTAGGGGCAGACTTCTCCATGTTTTCAGGAGGTCGGGCCAAAAGGGGTCATTTCGCAGGTCAGCCCTTGCTGCTTGCCTGGGCGAGTCTGGGGGACGATGGCCGCGCTGCATACCTCTTCTTGGGATGGGCCATGTCCTATTTTCTAGCCACATCAGGGGGTCGCTCCCCTCCGCTGTCTGCGGCGCCAAACGGGAGATTTGTTCCAGGGCCAGGCCCTTCCACGGGGTGTCCTGGTTGAAGAGTAGGCGTTTGAGCCATTGCAGCATTAGCGCCTTTGTTTGTAGCACGGGATCTATAATACCCAAACCTCCTTTTGATTTGGGTTGGATTATGGATTGCCAAGCCACTCTGCTGATCACATTTTGTTCCTCGTGGTTTCCCCTCCAAAGGAAGGCGGCTATTTGGCGCTGCAAGGGGCGTAACGTGTTTTTGTCCAAGGCCCAGATAGCTGATTTGTACCACAAGGATGCCAATATCACGTTGTTTATTATTAGGGAGCGTCATATCAAGGAGGTGTGTTTGTTCTTCCATAAAGTCATCTTTTCCTGAGGCGGGTCAGAGATCCATTCATTGTTGGTAGCCGGCCTACCCTTTGCTGACATCAGCACTTCTAGTACTTTAATTGGTGCTTCCTTTGGAACCCATTTGAGTTTGGGTTCTTCTGGGGGTCTAACTCCTTGGTGGTGTATCCACCAGCCCTGGGTCTTATTCCCCCAGTTGACTTTCATATCTGCTAGTCTGCAGAAGCAATTCATCATGTGTTGGATTTCTTTCATCGATTCATGGGAGGCCTCGATCATTATTGTCAAGTCGTCCGCAAACAAAGAGCAGACCGGGATCGCCTCCTGCGGTATTGATGACACTTGTCCTTTTTTTATATCCTTGTGTTCTCTTAGATTGGCCGCCAATGCTTCCATGACGATGACAAACAAATACGGGGCTATAGGATCGCCTTGTCTAACCGACCTTTGGAGCCCGATAGGCGGGGCCAAATTTCCATTCACCATTACTCCAGTCGTTGCATTTGTGTGAAGGATCTCTACCCAATGTCTAAAACCCGGGCCGAAGTTGAGCTTCTCAAGACACTTATCGAGGAATGGTCAGTCGACGTGGTTGTAAGCTTTCTCGAAGTCGATAAAAATGATCGCTGCATTATTTTTAGATTGTCTTGTTAGCTTGATCATTTCGTTTACTAGAAGGACGTTGTCCTGGATTCTCCTGCCTTGAATAAAGCCAGTTTGGTCTGGATGTATGATGTCCGGCATGACTGGCAACATCCGGTTAGCCAGGGCTTTAGCCAATAATTTGTATACGACGGTGAGATAGGTGATGGGTCTGTAGTTCCTATTATTGGTCCTTTCCCCTTTTTTGTACATAAGCGTCAAAACACCCTGACTCACTATTTCCCCAATCTGGCCGGTTGCCCAAACTGCCCGGTAGTAGTCCATGAGGTTTTGTGAGATGTCTGGCCACATTCTCTCCCAGAATTCCTTGGGCAGCCCATCAATTCCCGGGGTCTTTTCTTCTTCCATTTGTAGTAATGCTGTCCATATTTCCTCTTTGGACAGGGGGTCTTCAAGGGCCTCCCTTTGCTGCTCCTTTATTGTTTTTTCTAGCGGGCACAAAAATTCCTCAATCTCCCTCGTTCGGTGTGTTAAGGGGATCTTGACACATTCTGATGTAAACAGGTCCAGACAAAAGTCCTTCGCTATTTTAGTGCAGGTTGTCGTGGATGTGTGCAAGGGGCTATGAGAGCATTTGGGGTCTTCCAGGGCCTCGATCACAGATCTTCCGGCCTTTGCCCTGACCATCGAAAAATACCGTGCATCCATTGTCCCCTCCGTGTTGTGTTTGGAGAGTTTTCCCCGGATTCTGATTCCTTGCCATCGGTTTTCCATGTGTTCTAGAAGACGGGTTTCCAAATTTTGAATGGAGTTGGCTAACTCGGCCTGATGTGTTATATTTTCTGTGGCTTCCTCTTGTAGCTGCAGCTGTCGCAATTTATGGTGCAGGACCACCTCTTCAGCGTGGCGTTGTTTCGCGAGAAGTCTAGAGTAATCATTGCACTTGCGGCCTAGGAAGACTAAGCCGTTGTTGAACCACACGATATTGTCACCTATCTGGTCTCTCTCTTTTTGCCAGAAAAACCAGAAGTCTTTAAGATATACTTTGAAGCGTTCGATGGACAGTAGAGAGATGCTTAATTTGTAAAACCTCTTGCCCTGGCCTGTTTTTTTCCTAAATGAGAGAAGAGCCACACACATTATATCTCTGCGATCTGCAGGGATCCTTGTATTTCCTCTGAGATTAGGATCAAATCAATTCGGGACCTCGTTGCTTTCTCCGTGTCGTTCTTTCAGAAACATGTGAATCGGCGGTCGGTCGGGAATTGTCTTCTAAAGGTGTCAAAGAGGTTGAGAGATTGTGCAAGTTCTGCAATTATTCGTTCGTCGTTTTGTATATAAGTTGGGCATGGTGTGGGAATTTTCCATCTGTCCAGCACACGGTCCGGGGCTGCATTGAAATCACCCATCAGGATCGCGGGGATGCCCACAGGAAGCTTAGCTTTCAGGGACTCCAAGAAGCACTGGCGTGGCATTGGCTCGTTCAGAGCGTATATGTTCAAAATACAAACCACTTCTATTTCCAG